GCGACAATTCCCCTTTTTTAGGGTTTTCCTCAAACCACCGAGCCGATATTTGTTTATATGACATTTTCCCGTGTTTATCGTTTCAAAATGAAAAACGATTCACAATCCCTTTGAATAAATTATTTTTCATACGAAAAATAGATAAGCAGTTACAGATTGGGAATGACACATTAGTAATCCCACAAATTATGGGCAGCATTAAATGCTGGCCGATTTTACAGGCAAAAAAACTTAACCAAATTGGTAAGTATTTAATGCTGACCGGATTTGACCTGCAGTTGACCTGCCATTTTTGAAAAATGGTATCTTATTATATAGATATAGATATTATGTATGTATGTATGTATGTATGTTGTTGTGCGGCGGTTTTTATTGTTTATTTCATATAATGTAAAGGTTGAAATCATAACAAAGAATCCCAAAAACTGAAATAATATATTTGCATAATTTAAGGTCATTAAGAAATCGATCTCCAAATCAGATTTGATTTTGAGAATCTGTGTCTTATTTCGAAATCCATACAAAATGGAATTCTATCCAACCAATAAATGCCATAGCAAATATTAACTCTTAATATCAGTGCATATCGAGCAAATTGTGTACATATTTTAGAAAATTAAAATGATTCATGTTAGGTAATTTTACATTTTATGTATGTTGTTGCACGGGGGGTTTTAAATATTGTTTCATAGTATGTAAAAGTATATTATTTTATTTTTATGAGATGTTGAATTTTAAAATTAACAGAATTATTCGTAATAGGAATTTTAAATGTAATAGTATTCTTTGGTATACACTATTAATAAAATCTATATTTAAAGTTTATATTTTTTGTTTTTAACCTGATAAAATTCTTTAATTTAAAGAATCACATATATCTTCAATCAGTCTGCATCTATATACATTCTTCACAATTTTAAATTTTGAATTTGATGAGAATTCGTACCTGTGAGTGCAAAATATGATTAATTTTTATTATTATTTCAGTCATACTTCTTTATACGATTTTTGTAAAAATACAAAAGTAAATTCTTAATTTTAAATTACTCGTACATTAAAGTGTACAGATTTTTGAAATTACAAAAGTAGTTCTTTTAATTTAAATCAAATGTAAATTTAAATAAGCCATAAACAAAGATATTTTGTTTTACTATTTAAATACTAAATTAGCCGTCATTAATGTTGTTTGTTTATTTGCCATGATTTTCTCCAAACTAAATTAACAACTATCATGATTTAAGGGCTCCATTTATGATGCTCGATTTTTTGCCCAAAAAAAAAATAAAAATTACTAAAAGTGGTATGTAATTAATGCAAATGAATTTTGACTATAGTTTGACCTGTTATTTTTAAAAAATAGTAAATCTTTTTATATATATATATATATAGATTTGTATATTGTTTGATATTTTATTTTTCAATTTTTCCACATGATATCATTAATGTTTTTTTCTTTTTCTATATTGCAGGAGGATGTAAACAATTATGGAGCTAGAAATTGCATTTTTAAATTTATTTACTGTATTTTCAATCACGAAATAATGTGTAATTTATTTTTTTTGTATTTTAATTAATTAATGTAATTCATCTATATTTTGGTCAAAAATTATGCTTAAATTTTCATGATTGCGCCCACTAAAACTGCCCACTAAAACTGAATTGAGACTGTCAACAGATATGAGATCAGATCTCAAAATATATATCATTTGAATATGTAAAGCAATTAAAAGGACTAATTAAAAATATAAAGTTAATTAATGTAGGATCAATATAAAAGTGTAACCGATAAAAAATTTATTAGGTATAATTTATTAGGTAAAATTTATTAGGTTTTATTTATTAGGTTTTATTTAATGATTAGCTAGCAATCATATATATAGATAGGGGCAAGTACGAAAATGTAAGCAATGTCTCCATAAAGACTTGTTTTCAAACACGGCACCATTACTTGATGTGGATAACATATTTATCACCCCATCATGTTTTGAAGCAAAACGGTACACGTTTAAGAAAGTCGAGGAAAATAAGGGTAAATAGGGACAAGTACGAAAATATAAGCAACGTCTCCGGAAAAACTTGTTTTCGAACACGACACCATTATTTCTCACCGACGACGGCGGAACTGGTAGCAACGTGGAGATCCTTCGTCAAGGAAAATAAGGAGGACACCTTCGCTAGCCAGAACGGCTTCGTCACATTCAATTACTTCAACTTAGGGGCGGACCCACAGGGGGGCCCGCAGGGGCACGTGCCCCTGTGGTATGAGAATTTCACTATATATTTTATATATATATATTATATGTATGTAATATGTATATATATATATATATATATTAATTGTGTTAAGTTTTCTGACATTGTCAAGTATGTAATATATATTTTAATTGTGTTGTCTTGTGGGCCTTCTAGTACAACAAGCAAAGTTATTTTATTTTCAGTCAAAAAACCGTAACTCCAATCTCTTCTTTTATTCCCTTTGGCACAACTATAAAATTTGGACGCAATTAAGAAAAAAAAAAAAAGACAAACCCTTCAATAATCAAGTGGTTTGGATTTTATTTCAAAATGTATGCTTTATTTAATTGTTTTCTAATTTTCATAGAATTTTTTACCAAAAAATTAAAAAAAAAATTAAGTTGTGGAAAAAAAATACACAAACAAATGAGAGTGGACTAAAATAAAAATTCCGTATTCAGTGAATACGTTTTACTATTTTTTTAATTGTAAAACGTATTCACTGAATATGTTTTTTTTTTGTAAAAAAATCTGAAAAAAACATATTTAGGGAATACGTTTTCTATACAAATTGTATAGAAAACGTATTCTTTAAAAACGTGCTTTCTATTGTTGTCCACTCTTTTTTTTTGTCCACATGTTTTTTTATTTTTTTAATATATAAATTACTCAATTTTCATACCCTAAATTAATATTTGAGAATTTTTAAAATTGATGTAATTTTTAATTTAGGGCTTTCATGATATAAATAGCTTCTTAAATGTTATTTCTTATTTGTTGCGAACACGTAGAGAACAATTATAACGTTTGTCATTTTTCTTTATTCTTTTATGAATTATATTATGCCCCCCTACTTTTAAATGTCTGCGTCCGCCACTGCTTCAACTTGCACTTCCTCGACGAGTGGGAGGTGTAAGCACCATCTATTTATCTTTTAAAACTTCTAAATTTTTACAAGTAGTTTTTTGTTTTTCAAAAATAGTTTGAACTTCTAAGGTACTTAAGGTAAACTCTCTTCCCAAATATCAGTCTCATACTTCTCAAAATTCAAATCATACTTAATTATTAACCATCATCAGAGAATCTCAAATATAGTTCTAAAAACAAGTCTCAAGACAATCTCATGCATAGTTCTAAAAGTTCATAAATAACTCATAAGTGCATAATAATAGACCACCCTCGTCATCGTGTCTGGCACCATCTCGATCAAATTGAAGGAGGGGGG